TTGAGATTGTGTATATATAGAGAGAAAAAAATTATATATATATATATATATATATATATATATATATATATATATATACATATATAAATTTAAGCTTTTGCTCTCTAAATGTATAAAATCTTAACTGTGTTATTACAGCCTACAAAACCAGTGTAATGGAAAACTAGATGACAAAATTGGTTCTCCTTTTTACTCCTCCCCAATTGTACCTTTATCTTTTCTAGGCTTATCCTTCTAAATAATGCTGAACTATCGTTCTCAAGTAAAAGTAGTGTACTAGTATAAGTGCCTAGTGCTCTGACACTCAGCATTCAAAATTAATTCTAAAGATGGGAGAATGTAAGAGACTTAAATGGACTCAGGCAGTGTTAGCACATGTCTTTAATTCCAGCACTCAGGAAGCAGAGGCAGGCGAATTTCTGAGTTTGAAGCAACCTGGTCTACACTGCAAGTTCTAGGACAGCCAGGGCTACACGGAGAAACCTGGTCTTGAAAATCCAAAATTAAATGAGAGACTTCAGTGGGTTGATAATTACAGAAGACTATCAAAGATAACAAGGTTACTGTCCTGGATAGGATGTATCTGCAGTTATTTTTTATCAGTAGCTGAAATAATCACTGCAAGGTAAGTTCGATCCTGCCAACGCTTCATGACTTAATTCCAAGAGCATATCATACAAGCCATCAGCCACTCCTGATGACACAGTCGATTTACAAATTGGATTATGTCCTAATGGTAGACAGACTCCAAATTAAACAAATGGTTGGTCCAGTGAGGACCTGACAGGATGGGATGGAATTAACTTAAATAAACAACAAAGACGAGGGGGCAGGGCTTTATTGTACTGGAAAGTAACTAAGTCTACAAAAAGAGCTGCTAAGTGACTTTGTCACTAAGATTCATCAAAGATACTTAAGAAGTCAGAGTAACCCAAAAAGCTTACATCCCTGTTTTTCCCAAATGCAAGTCATTCTGGAAATGGCAAAACTCTGAAGTCAGAGCAAAGGTGACTTTAGGACAGTGATAGTATATTGTATATGATACTATACTTATATGTCATTATATACAACAAAAATAGTGAGGCCTAATCTCTGACTTTGGGTGATAATGATGTGACAATGTAGGTTCATCAATTTTAACCAGTACTCTGCTTCAGGATGTTAATAGGAAGGTTGTACGGGCATGGGGGAATATGTGGGTGTCCTGAACTACATGGGGATTCTGTCCAGTCTGTTCAGTTTTGCTCTCCCCCTAAAACTGCTCTTTAAAAATAAAATTATACTTTTAAACAGAAGCTGAGATAAAGTCTCTGAACATCTTTTATTCTTCAGGGTCATTACATTTGAAGCTCAAATATTTGACATCAATGCCATCAGAGGAAACCAAATTATACATTCCCAACTAAGTTACAAATTTAAGTTATGGTTACCCATCATATTTAACATTCAATACACTGTTGAACCAAAGTTAGCTAGAAGTAATTAGGCTTACATATTCTATGGGTAGAAGTAGGGTGAAGAGGTTTCGCCTGCTTGGGGTAGTATCCGTAGCCACATGAGAAATGAGCCCAGGAAATGGGGAATCCGAGATGGTTCCTGAGACCAGAAGATCTAGACTCGTTGTCCATGTGCCATGAAGGGTTAGGATTAAGGTTCACTTTGCTGCATCCTGATCTTTGTAGGTCAGAACAGACAATGAAGTTAATGTCCAGATGGTACATCAGAGGAGACCTGAGTACATCCAAAAAGGCTCAAGGACAGGTTTTTAAAAACCAGTAAATATATGCCTATCTACTTGTATGAATTAAATATATCACAGTATCAGAATTTTTAAATCTGAACAGTAGAGCCATGATGGTGCATGCCTTTAATCCCAGCACCAGAGAGGCAGAGGTAGGCGAACCTCTGAGTTCAAGGCCAGCATGCTCTACAGAGCAAGTTCCCAGATGTCCAGGAATACATAGAGGGAAGGGAGGAAGGGAAGGAAGGAAGGAAGAAAAGAAGGAAGGAAGGAAGGAAGGAAGGAATTTTAAAAAGTTACCATCACATCATGGTATGAAATAGATTTTTTTTTCCCCAGAGAAAACGGATTTCCAACACTTAGTTAGGTAAAACACTTTATCAAAAATAAGGCTAATATCATTAACTGAAGAAAATTTACTTTCTGGAAATGAAGAACTAATAGTCAAAATTAAATGAAACTAGGAGAAAAACATATTGCACATCCCAGACCCTGGTATAAGAATGACCAATGACCAGGCATTGATGGCGCACACCTTTAATCCCAGCACTCGGGAGGCAGAAGTATTCGGATCTCTGTGAGTTCCAGGCCAGCCTGGTCTACAGAATGAGTTCCAGGACAGGCTCCAAAGCCACAGAGTAACCCTGTCTTGAAAAACAAAACAAACAAACAAAAAGAATGACCAAAGAATGTTTAAAACCATTAATACAACCAGGATAGCCAGAGCTACACACATCATACCGAAAAACCATATCTCAGAAAAAAAAATTATAGTCAAATTTGAGATCTACAAGTTCTTAAACAAAATGACAGAGACTCAGGAAGATGACTGGTCAACTTCTAAATTGATCAGTCAAATCTGTGCATGTGTACCTCAAGAAGTCACGTTGTAGACAAAGTTAATAACTAGACTCAGTGAGAGTTCTGTAACTGCCAAACTAACATCCTAGGACAGGGAACAATTGCCAAAGGCTTAAAAAAGAGGTTTGTCGAATCACCTTGTACTGGATAAGTTAAAAACCACCATAGCCAATATTCTCCCTTCATCAGCTTTCTTGTTGATATATACAGCAGCAATACTCAAACTATTGAGTAGCCTGTGAAGGAAGTCAGGAATTAAGAATTAAGACAACGTTGCACTAGAGAAGTGTTCTCAACCTTCCTAATGCTGTGACCCTTTAATACAGTTCCTCGTGTTGTGGTGACTCCAATCATAAAATTATTTTCATCGCTACTTCATAACTCTAATTTTGCTACTGTTGTGAATCATATTGTAAATATCTGTGTTTTCCTATGGTCATAGATGACCCCTGTGAAAGGGTCCTACAACCTCCAAGGGGGTCTTGACCCACAGTTTGAGAGGAAGAAGAAAAGATACCAACAACGAAAACAGTTGAAAACAATTGCGTACTACTTACTCTTCTTATTTCTGTGAGTTTGTTTTCACTCACAGTTAAAGGGAATCATTCACCACGGAGGGGAAGGCATTGAAGCAGGACAGGAAGTAGATGGTCACATTGCATCCCCAGCCCCTAGAATGATACCAGCCACATTCCAAATGGTTCTTTCTAGTTAAGCCATTCTGGAAACAACCATATACACACACTCCAAAGTGTATTTCTCTAGAGATTCTAAAAGCCTATCAAGTTGACAATGTGTTACAGTTTGGAATTTATGGATGATATCAAGTCAATATGACTTCAGAAGAAGTCAAAGAAAATGAACACAGGACTTGCTGCGAATCATTTTCAAAGAAAAGTGATAATGCCATGGCTTATATCTACTTTACTTCCAAGGGGTAGTTAGCTTTAAGTTGATTTTATTTGTACCCATGTCTGTTTCATATAGACTATTTGAGTAATATAGAACCAAGAAAATCAATGCCATTAAGCTGTATAATCTCCGAGTATTCATCACAGACCCTGCTATGATATACCTGAGGACTTAGACAATGTCCCCTTGAATATTTTCCATGAGATTCTTCAGCAACATAAACTACTTAAGGTCAAGAGGAAGAAGTTTGTCCATCAAACTCTGGACATGATCAAGAAGATTGATAATAAGACATACCATGTTAATTTTTGGAAAGAATTTGGCACCAACATCCAGTTTAATATGAATAAAGACCACACAACTTGTAAACTCCTTGTTTCAATTTTCCCTAATCATCCAGCTAGCATCTGAAGTCTGGATCAAAATGGAGAAAGAATGAGAAGAGAATGACAGGAAAAACATCTACTTCATGGCATAGCCAGAAGAAAGGAGGCCAAATCTCCTCTTGTTGAATGGCTTCTGGAATGGACTATGAAATTATTTGCCTCACAAAAATCCATGGATTCCCATTGTATTCAAGCTTTCTCTGAGTTTGATATGAAAGGTTCTAGACGATTGCTGAAGAAGGAGTGATGCGTGAAGAAAGAGAAAACCAAGGAAAGTCATGAAGACACTGAGAGGTCATTTGAGCCACTGCACAGCTGCATGAGAAATAAGGACCTTAAATTAAGGACAAGACTGAAAAGGCTGGGAGGTGCCCCGTG